CCTCGGGAGCCATCCACTCGGCCTGAAACATAATATACAAAATGAATTAACTAATATATTTAGTTGCAGTGGGAAGCTTTTATTTACAAGTGCAGACACAGAAAGATACTGGACGAGAATGCGTATGAAATGCCCAAATAAAGAACAAGCTTACAACTGAGAATATAACCAATGAAAAAAAAGAAAAAGAGGTGGAACAAGAGACATCCAAAACCATGTATATAGTTGCACAATTATCATCAGCTGAAATATTAAGCAGCATTTACCATCACTTGAATAAAGTGTATTACCTGCCTTATACTGTGATTGGTACTGACAGTATAATCACGCAATTTTTCAGTTTTTTTTTTCTTTAAATAATTGAATTTATGCACACTTTATCCACATTCCACACACTTGTTTGGACCATGTTTCAAATTGATACTATAGCATGTGCAAAAATAATCCTTGGCTTGAAGATAGTCATTGCCAGACCCAAAGGCTCAACATACTACACCAAGCATATAATAGATGGTAAGGCCAAAAGTTCAAGGCCTTCCAAAACTGTTTTAATTAAAATAGCAAGTGTCTACATTTGTGTGTAGACTTCATGACTTACTGTTCCTGCAGTTGATCTGGAAGAAAGGAATGTGCTGTGCTTCATACGTGATAATCCAAAATCACATACCTGTTGAACAGACAAAAAAAAATGTCATCATGTCAACACATAGCATCCCCCATGCTATCAACAAATTTTGATCATGAGATTAGATTGCACCTTCACAACCCAATTTTTGTCAACAAGAAGATTTGGGGACTTCAAATCACGGTGCACTACCACTGGAGTGCAGTTGTGCAAATAGTTCATTCCTCGAGCCTGAAAATTCAAAGAAACAAGTTATACAGCAAATGGGATTCACTGGTTCACTGTAGCAATTACTTTCTCAATACAGCAGTGTTGCATTAAAAGACAATAAGCTCACAGCATCAAGAGCCATCTTCAAACGCCTTCGCTCGTCTAATTGACTGTTTGGTCTATGAAGTAATCTATACAAACTTCCTCTGCATAAGATGATCTACATCTCAGTATTTAAGAGTCAAAAAGGAAAAACAAAAAATCCTCCAAAAAATTATTGATTTATCAATACGAATCATCAATACTTCAATTTGCTTCATATATCCATATCCGATACCGATACACTTGGATACTTCATCAATTGTATCAGTGACATGTCCAAACCTTTAAAAAATTATGGAAATCTTTTTGGATAGCAATATTCTTGGATACTATTCCAATAATTCACCGGTACGCATTGGTGAGATATCCAAGCCTTTAAAAAATTATGAAAAACCAATACAGGGACATGAGACATACAAACATGCATAGTATAAGAACATAGAAACATTGTTAATTCGCAATGAACAATCTCATAACTCATGAAGCACTGGGAAATGAAGATTTCATGTTACCTGGGAAGAAATTCGGTAACAATTGAAAGATTTGGAGGCCTTGTTACAGCTCCCATGAAGAGGACAACATTTGGATGCCTCAATCTTTTCATTATTTTGACCTATTGAAATTAATATCATAAGTTTTCTGGTCTTTAATCTATATGATAGATTAAAAAAGCTTTTCCATCATCTAAATTTATTAGTAAGCAGAAGTATATATGGCATTGACAACAAGAATTACTACACAGAATTTCAATAAGGAGCAATATAAATACAAAAATTAGATGGTGGGACAACAAAACAACATTTTTCAGAATTAAAATTTAAAACAAGAAGTACATCTGATAATATTTTGAAATAATAACTACAACACAATGAAAGCAGAAAAATGAAAACACAAATGATTGCTCTAATCTAATGCGTTGTGAAGTATCTAAATATATATTAATGACCTAATTAAAAATTCTCAAAGTTCAAAGACCATATAATGTATTAAATAATTAAATAAAAAAAAGATAAATATAACCCCCTCAATAGAAGTGTACAACAAATTTCAAATCCGACTAGAAAGAATAACACAGTAATCTAAACAAGAAAATTGCAGCCATATATATGAGATTGTGAAGAGAACACAGATCACATTAATGAAGGCAACAGAAAACATAAACCACGAGATTACACTACAATAATGAGTAAAATTTGCAAAAGAAATACAGCAGGGAAGTAGAGATAGTCTGTACCTCAGTTTTGAATTCCTCAAGTGATTCACCCGATATATCTTGATCTAGAAACCTCTTTACAGCAACTTCCTACAAACCAAAGAGCAGAAATGTGCAGTAAATTAAAGAATTCTATACAATATAACAGAAAATTACCTAAATAATACTGACAAGAATAAAATAAAGTGACCTAGCGGTGAAAATTATAATAACATGGATGACTATTTTGTTCAGATCAAAATGAAACTAAAGCCCAAGAATTCTTGGCACACATTCAATTAATAAAAAAATTACATTTTATAATTTGTAGCACATACACAGGTGCAATTGCAGCCATTATAAGTTTTGACACTGTTCATTCCATTTCAACATAAAAAGATAACAACAAAATAAGGTTTCATAAGCATAACATACGACTCAGCAAGAATAAAATGATCAATTATGTTCAAGAATATAAGAAACTCACAGTTCCACGCCATTCACCATGGTACACCTCCCCATATGATCCTGCATTTCAAACATGTGCAAAACCAGATAAATAGTACCTACCATCTAAGAGAAGAATGTAACCCAATCTTGCAGAATAAAGTACAGTTAATACCAATTCCAATACGCTCACCGAGCGTGATTTCCTCCCATGGAATGTCAACCTCAGCAACATCTTGATCATCTAATGCAGAACCAGACTTCGTGCTATCATTACTTACTACTGATCTATCAGATCTTCGGTCGCCTTCGGAATTTGCTCCTAAAGCTATATTCTCTCCATCACCACTACCTTTCAGGTCATAACCGGCACTGTCGGTATCTTCATCACTTCGACTGCTCTGTTCGTACTGTCTATTGACAGCAGCAGTCGTTGCTACAACAGCTGCAGCAGTAGCAGTAGCAGCTGCTGCTACAGGAATCTCAATATTCGAGTCATTGTTCGACTTTGTCACAGCAACTACCATAGAAGATGCGACAACCGCAGCGGCGGGGGGCGC